TATTGCTTACAGTTTCAGAGGCTGGGAAGTCTAAAGTCCAGGGAACATATCTGGTGAGGGTTTTCTTTGGTGATGGCTTTACAGCAATGCAGGGGTCTTGCATGGCAGAAAACACGGAGCAGAGAGAGACTCTCATGTGCTCTTTTAAAACCCTCAGGACCACACCCCTGACCACCATTATTAATACATTCATTATGTCATGGTCCTACAATCTAATCACCTCTTCAAGGCCCCACCTTTCAATTACCATAGTAGGACTTCTCATCCTTTTCACACTGTCACAGTGGCAACCAAGCCTCCAACACATTAAACTTTTGGGGGGAGCCAATTCAATCCATAATATGTACCATGTAACATTTCTACAATCTGAAAAGTTTTGAATTCTGAAAAATGCTTATCCCCAAAATTTCAGATAAGGAATTGCGATCCTGTGTAATATTCATATCTGGACCAGAATGCCTGGGTTCAAATTCAAGCTGTGCCGACCTACTAGCTGTGAGACCTTAGGAGTTAGCTTCTTTGTGCCTTAGTTTCCTCATCTGAGAGGATGTTAATAGTACTCACCCTCTTAGAGTTGCTGTCGCATCACGAGTTTATATTAAACAAAGCACTTAGCACAGTGCTATTGTAAGAAGTTTTATTTTTCCCACAACTACTCGATCAGGTGACTATTAGTATACTATTAGTATCCCACTTCACAATGAGGAATTCAAGTTCAGAGAAGATAAGTGCATTTCAAACCTTTTCACTCAAATAGTTCCAAGAGAGTGGAAAGGCGCAAGAGTCCGGGAAGGCAGTTGTCCAAAGTGGCTCCTCCATCAAAGTCAATGTTTTTAAAGTTTCATTTTTATTTTAATATCCATAGGAATTCTGCATTCTATTTCCTAATATATATCTGGTGTTTGCCCCAACATCTTGCTGTAAAACCAACGCTCTGGAACACGATAAACATCCCTTGGCTTTGAGATCCTGTGACACACAGCAGAGGAGCCAGTTTTGAGACTCTGAGGCCAAGTGACGACAGACTGGCTCATTGACTCAGACGCACCCTTTCGACAAATGCGTCCCTCTCTCCCGCCGGCCAGACACGAGGCCCCGCCCCTTCAGAACACAGCCCCGCCCCTTCCTCCAAGATCCCCGCCCCCGCGACGCTCTGCCCGCCTGATGCTTGGGTACATACCACTAAGCCTCCTGGTGGGGGTGATATGTCGGAGAGATGGGTTTGGCGCTGGCCTGTCCCCAATATCTCTCAGCTTGAGCTCCTTCCCCCAAGTCTGGGTCCTCTAGGCTCCCAGAGCGGCCTTCAGGGTAGCCATCACGGCTCCCCATTTCGGCCGTCCCGTCCGCTGTTCCCCTTTGGACCCGGGCAGGTGGCACAGTCCGGGGGCGGAGCCTTCGGCGGTGGGGCGGGGCTTGAGGCAGACCGACGGAACCGAGCTGGTGAGGCGCGTGGTACGGGCGGTGGTCTGGGGTCACGATCGGGTTCCGAGCTCGAGCCAAGGGGGTGGGCGGACCGGGGAGCAGCCCTGGATGGGGCGTGCCCCCTGTGGACCCTCGGGCCTGGCGCCCGCGGTGGAGTGCCGGCAGGCGCGCGGGGGCTGGCCTCGGAGCCAAAACTGACAACGAATTGGGAGGACGGCTTCCCTCACCTGGACGTAGCCTCCCTGGAGATTAATAGGCGGATGCCCCAGCCGAGACTGAAGTACTGACACCTGTCCGACAGACACCCCTGGTCGTCTGCCAGGCCGGGCACATACATGTACATCCAGGTACTGGGAGGGCCGGACCCACGGACAGCCTTACTTTCTCCGCACCCTACTGCTGGCTGCTGGCTGCTGGATTGTCAAATGCAGCCACCACTGGCTCTAGGAGGGACAGATAGACGCTTTCCAGCTGGGACCGACCCTGGGACAGGGTGCATGGATAGACATTCCCCCGCACACATGGCTGACCCCAGAACCCACAGACGCCCCTGACTCTGGCCTACCTGCAGTTTAGGTCAGCACTGTGCAATTCCCCACACCCCACCAAAGTCCAGGGTTAACGGGCTCTGAGCTCCGAAGGCCCTTGTGGTTTAGGCCAGACTTTCATCTCTCCTTTCCAGGCTGGCCACCAGGACTCAGGGTCCTGCCTGCTTTTGACCACCTGGGCCCTACCCCGACTGAGGCTTTGCATCCTTCCGGGGCATCTCAGAACTCTGGTCTGAGGTGAAAGTTCCAGAGCCTCTCCCCAGGCCTGACAGGGCATCACAGACCGCCTGTGACTAGGGCAAGTGGGGTCTGGACCCAGGCACTGAGGTCTGGCCCTTACATTTCCTTTGCAGGAACCCGGGGCCTCATCATGGACCCCGAGTGCTCTCGGCTACTCCCGGCTCTCTGTGCCGTTCTGGCAGATCCCAGGCAACCTGTGGTGGATGACACCTGTCTGGAGAAGCTGCTGGACTGGTTTAAAACGGTAACTGAAGCAGGTAAGGGTGCCAGTGCTGCTGTTTACTGTTTGCCAGGGGCCAGAGGATGCTTGTAGAGCATGGGGCAAGGCGCCCAGGCCCCGCCCTGGAGGAAGGGCAGGGACTGTCCATCTGATATATTTCCTTCACTTCCTAAAGATTCTCTGTGGCTGACTGGACAAGTAAAGCTGAAGCCTGAGGGAATAATCGGGAGAGTTTCAGCTTGAAATCCTTAGCCAATTCCTGTTGTTCAGTTCATGCCAGGTGGTTGCAGAGGGCGTGGACAAACTTATTTTGTTGTTGTTTTCATTGCACCTTGTTTGTTTTAAGAAATTAGCTTTCTTTCTGATTATGAAAGTAGTACATATTTTTGAAAACTTGAAAACACAAAGGAGTAAAGAGGAAAATTAAACCACCATCAACATTTTCACTTTTTTTTTTTTTTTTTTTTAACCATTTAGCCTTTTTTAAAATAACACATCCTGGGCTGTATACTTTTTTTCATAAAAATGAGGTCATACCATAAATACAATGTACTGTCTTGCTTTTTCTCTCTTTCCATTAGAGTGAGTGCTTTTCACATGGAACACATTAATTTTATTGACTACATGTTATTTGATATATGAATGGACCATAATTTATTTAATCACTTCAGTGTTGTTAGATATTCGTGTTTCTAATGTTTCATTATTACAGATAGAGCAATAATGGTTTTCCTTGTACATAAATATTCTTGCGTGTAAATGTCTGCTCTCATGGCTGATAATTGCCTTCGGATAGATTCCGTGTCATTAATTTCTGCTCTTCATTACAGTACTTCCTTCTTTTGGTTTACCCTGTTCTTTATTCTCTTTTGAGTTGAATATCTAGATTTTTTTTTTTTAATATATGTATTTAAGCTACACATTTATCCAAAAGTATCCCTTTAGCTGCATCCTCCAAGTTTTACTATGCGGTACTTTTGTTGTAATTTAGTTCCAAATACTTCATGCTTTTCATTATAATTTTTTCTTCACCCACAAATTATTTAAAAGAATATCCTTTAGTTTTAAAATATGTTTTTTGGGGCCGGCCTGTGGCTCACTTGGGAGAGCGTGGTGCTGACAATACCAAGTCAAGGGTTAAGATCCCCTTACTAGTCATCTTTAAAAAAAAAAAAAATAAATAAATAAAAATAAATAAAATACGTTTTTTCCCACTTTTTATTATTTATTATTATTGATTTCTAATTTACTTAATTGAAATTAGAAAATATAATCTGTATTTTGATTCTTTGATAGCTGTTCAGGCTTATTGAGGCACAGTTCACAGGCAATATATTTTATTTTATTATTTAAAAAAATTTATTTATTTTAATTGACACATTGTAATTGTACATATTTATGGGGTACAGTCTGCTGTTTTGATACATGTGTATGTTGTATAAATGATTGGATCAGGGTAGTTAATGTATCAGTCACCTCATGCATTTATCATTTCTTCGTGGTGAAAGCATTCAAAGGCCATTATGTCATATACACAACCTAACTGTTAACCATAATCCCCCTACCGTGCAATTGAGCAGCAGAACTTATTCCTCCTATCTAATCACAATTTTGTACCTGTTGGCCGACCTCTTCCTGTTTACCCTTGCCCTCTCTCCCCAGTCTGGTAGCTACTGTTCTACTCTCTGCCTCTGAAATACCAACTTTTTTTTCCCCCCAGATTCCACATATGAGTGAGATCATGTGGTATTTGTCTTTCTGTGCATGGCTTATTTCATTTAACATAATGTCCTCCAAGAACATCCACAGACAATTTTTTGTAAATGTTTTCTAGATTTCACTATATGATATTGAGGTTTTTGGTGTTTGTAAATCTTCAGTTGTGGCCTAGCTTGTAATCAAATTTTAAAAAGTATTTTTAAGCTACTTTATTGAGATATAATTTACATGCTGTGTAATTTACCCACACAAGTGTATCAGTGCAGTGGTTTTTAGTAAATTTACAGGGTTGTGCAACCATCAGCACAATCTAATTTTAGAGTGTTTTCCTCCTCCCAAAAGAAACTGGGTACCCATTAGCCATCAATCCCTATTCCCTCCTCCTTCCCAGCCTCTACTCAATTTTTCTAAGTGTTCTGCTTACATGTAAGTGATGGAAAGAACATAGTTTTCATACTTTCTCAGTATGAAAGAACATTTCATTGTTCAAACCTGCTATGGTCTTGCTAATTTGTTTGCTTAATTGTTTCTGAGAGGTGTGTAAAAATCTCACACTAAGATTGTGGATTCAACAATTTTTCTTTAAAATGCTGTCTTTTTTTTTTTTTTTTGCTTTTCATATTTTGAAGTTAGGTCAGGTCCTCCCAAACTTAGGACTGTTATGTCTTCCTAGAATGTGTCTCTAATCAGTGAATAGCAACTTTCTTTTGCACTAATAATGCTTTTTGCTTAACAGACCATTTTTGTCTAATATTACTGTTCCTACACTAACTTTTTTAAAATTAGAATATGCTTACTGCATCTTTTTCTCCCCTTACTTCCAACCGTTCTGGTTGTCATGCTTCTTGCTTCTTATATAAACAATACATCACTAGTTTTTACTGTTTAATTTAATCTAAGCACCTCTTTCTTTTAACAGATAGATTTAATCTGCTTCATTTGTTGAGGTTACTATTAGATGTGAACTTTCAAACATTCTTTTGTATTTTTTTAATTTCCCATCTTTGGTCTTTGCTCCTCTTTTTCTGCCCTCTATCAGATTGATAAAACTTTTTAAAAAATTTTTAATCTTTTTCTTCTGGTTTTGAAATCATACATTTCCAGTTATGTTCTTTAGTGGTTACTTTTACATTTTTAACATGCAAACTGGATTTTTTTAAAAGTCTGAGGTTAATTAGAATCTCTGTGCTCTCTCCAAACAACTTAAGGATCTCAGAGCACTTTAACCTCAGGCTACCACGACCTCCTGTGTTGTTGTTTTCTAGTATTTTAATTCTGTCTTGTTCAGAACCCTTCAACAATGATTTATTTTTAATCTTTGAACCCAGTGCTTTTTAGATTTGCCCACATGATTATTGGTTCATTTCTTCTTTCTCCTTCCTCCTCTCTCTGCTCACTGAAAGCTTCTTACATGTTCTTTGGGAGTTCTTCCACGAGGGCTTCTCACTGGGGAACTCTCCAGCCCTTGTCTCCAAATGGCTTTTCCTCCCATCAGTAGCCTAGCTGGGTATAGAAATCTAGGCTGCCGAGTCTGGAAAAGAGTGACTATTCCGTGTACTTCCTTACATGGAGCACTTTCCATTTAAGAAAAAAGTACTGTGTCCATTTGAGAGGTTAAAAACAGTCTTTTGCTTTAATTTGCATTTCTTTTTCATAATCAGCGAGATAGAACATTTGTTTAGGGTTGTTGGCCATGTGTATTTCTTGTCCATGTCTTTACTTGTTGCTGAGATGTTGGCTTTCTAGTTTGTCCCCACTTATGGAATTAAAGTTAGGAGTCATTTGTTGTATTTGTGGCAAATATTTTTTCCCAGTTGGACCACTAAATCTAGCACCTTGACAGAGACGGGTCTGGGAATTGCTGGAAGAAGAACAGTTCTCTAGGGACACACTTAGTATCCCTGGTTCCAACTGTCCTGGGCTGGGCCTGTCTCTGCAGAGTCCAGTCTCCTGATGCTACAGGAGAATCCCTGCCTAGTTGAGCTGCTGTCCCATGTGCTGAAACTCCAGGACGTGAGTTCCAGGGTCCTCTCCTTTTCACTCCGCCTTGCAGGGATATTTGCAGCCCAAGAAAACTGCTTCCAGTATCTACAGGTAAGCCTGGGTTCTCCCACCTGCATTTCCCACTGAGAGGTGGGCAGCATTCTCATCCCTTAGATACATAAAGCATTTGTAGCCATTGAGATCCCCAAGTCTCAGAAACTTGACTTGTCCCGGTGTCTTGACTAATATTGCCAGTTACTCCCAAGTGTAATCCCCCTTTGAAAAGGAATGATGTTGAGGCTGAGGAGTGAATTTTTTTGGAATAAGACAGAACTGGGATTGACTCTACTTTTTCTTTTTGGTGGCTGGCTGGTACAGGGATCCAACCCCCTGGCCCTCGTGTTGCAACAACACGCTCTAACCAACTGAGCTAACTGGCCCTGACTCAGCCCTGACTCAGCTCTGACCCACTGTGTGATCTTGCCCAAGTTCCTGAGCCTCAGTTTCTTCCTATAACAGGGATAAGAACTGTAACTGTCTCATAGGGTTGTCATGAGGATTATGTGAGACCACAGGTCCTGTGTCTGCAGGCACTCGGTCCTGTAAATGAATGAATAACTGGCAAGAATTTCTACATAGCAATAAGGCATGAGAACTCGGAGAGCTCCCCAGAGCTGTGTGTCTTACAGCTTTGACCACCCCCAAATGGGCACAGCTGGGTTTGTTAGGGGATGCTTGATGAGAGCTTGCCTGGCCCTTGCCAGTCCAGGGCAACAGCTTCTCTTGGTACCTCACAGACCTCCAGGTTGCATGAAGGCACAGCCATATCCTCTGATCCCTTGTGCCAGAGTCCCTTGGACAGCAGTGGGGAGGGACATGTTCCCCCCAGCACCACTATGCTGCCATTCATGGGTGCCCCCTAATTCAGCAACTGCAGACTCTAGGAGCCCAGCCAAGTGCCATCTTGCTGAGTCTTTCCAAGATGTTCCTGGGCACCTTTGCTACCGTGAAATGTATTTGAGGGCACGACCTGTGCTTGTTGTCCTCACACATAATCATGCCTCCACTCGTATGGGACTTTGCAGCTCATCAAGCACGTGAGTTTGTAAAATCACTCTTCTGTTATCTTAGGAGCCCTGGCCAATAGGCAGGTCAGGAGTCTCGATCTCTATTTTCTAGGTAAGGAAAGAATCCCCAGAACTGAATTCCCAGAATCCACACTAGATCTTATGTAGTCTGAGTATTCCAGTGATCTGTTACACCACCTTTTTTTCCAAAAGTGAATTTTCAGTCACAAGTAAATGGCTTTTCCCAAGCTCATTAATTTCCTGAGAAACTTCCTGGGTACTTCTCCGTCTCCTCCTTTTTCTTTCTCCTTCCCAAGGCCGACTGTGGCTTTGAGGCTTGAAAGGCTGCTGACTGTCCTCCGGTCCCCGGTAGTTGGTCCCTGCATGCAGGGATGAAGGACACAGGCCTGCAGCACTGGGCTGGCCTCCAGTTCCCTTTTCACGTGCCCCTTTCATATACTTCTCGTAGTCTCATTAGCCTGCTGCTCATCACTGGCCCTGTCCTCAGTGGACAGCGTCTGGGTAAGGGACATGAGACAATCTGCTTGAGGAAGGGAGCTGAGCCTTTGCATCCTGCATTGGCCATGAGCTGTGCCCAGGAAGGGGGTATAACTTTGAGGTTGTGAGCCTCAGATGGGAGTGGGCACCTCTGTCCTGAAGTGGGGTCCAGGCATGGATGTGGCTGCATGGAGGGGAGCCAGGTGACATGCCTGAGTCTAATATAGAGAAAAGTACTGAGAGGGAAAGTCAGGCGGGCCCTGTGCTGCTGTAGATTTAGAAGCAGAATCTCTGAGGCCCCTGTGGTCCCTTCTCCAGGAATCTGTGATGAGTGAAGGGTTATTTCCCTTGGGGGTAGGCAGCAGCTGACCACGGGGAGCCCAAGGCAAGGCCCTGACCACCATTCCTATAGTTGAGGCAAGCAAGGCTCAGGGAGTAATCATGCCGGGGGGGGGTCTCCAGCAGTAAGAGCCAGAATCGGGGTTTTCCACATGCCCTGTGAAATCTAGAGGTGAACATGAATCTTATGCACGTGGACAGGAGGTATGACAGGGCCTGTGATTGTGGAGATCCCTAAACAGGGCTGGGGTGTGGGGTGGGGTGGGGATTCTGCTGGCTGCAGTCACTGCCACTCAGGCTCAGCTTCCTGGGAGAGGTGGGTCAGGAGCTAGGTGGTAAAGAGTATAAGCAGGTACAGAGGTGGCTGATGCTGAGGGCGGAGGGGCGTCCGGGAGTTCTAAAAGTGGAATGGGTGACACCTGGAAAAGGAAGGCGGGTGCCCTGGCAGATGGCAAATGCAGCTCAGAAGTTCCAGAGGCTGCAGAGAAGCTGTATTAGTCCGTTTCCATTGCTTATAACAAAATACTTAGAACTGGGTAATTTATAAAGAAAATGAAATTTATTGCTTACAGTTTCTGAGGCTGGGAAGTCCAAAGTCCATCTGGTGGTGGTGGTGACAGTGACTCAGGGGTCTCACATTGCAAGATAGTGGAAGCAGAGAGAGAGAAGACAGACTCTCCTCTTCTTTTAAAGCCCTCAGAACCATGCCCCTGACCACTGTTTTTAATCTATTGACTACTGCATGGTTCTACAATCCAAACACCTCTTCAAGGCTCCACCTTTCAAGGATTCCCCACCCTCTTAACAGTCAACAGTGTGGGCCAAGTTTTTAATACATAAAACTTGGGGGACACAATTCAAGCTTCACTGAATTTAGGGGGGACATTTAATCCACTACAGAAGCGCTGGGGGTTCTTGAGCCCAGAAGGCCACGGTCAGGGGTGGACCTTTGAAGATGAAGCTGATGGTGCCGTTTTGGGGGTAGGAGTCCTCAAGTGGACTGTAACAGGAGTGATAGACTTTATTTAAAATCCAGTTCTTCCTTCCCCTGAAGCTCTCACTCCTAGAAGGCAGAACAAGCAGCTTTGGCCCCACTCACCGGCATTTGGAAGCCATCTGCCACCTTCCAGAAACAGCTACCAGGGGCTCTTTCTTCTGTATTGGTAGTTGGTGTGAAAGTGCCTCCCAAAAGTGCCTTGACCAGACCTGAAACAGAAAACCCCTCTCTGATCTGCCCGTATCCCCAGAAACCTGCCCAGGTCCCTACCTCTTTCCTTGCTTCCCAGCAGGGGGAGTTGCTGCCAGGACTGTTTGGGGAGGCAGGACCCCTCAGCCGAGCAGCCTGGACTGTCCCCACCGTACGCAGCGGCTGGATCCAGGGCCTGTGTTCCTTGGCACAGCACCCCAGCGCCCTGCACTTCCTGGCTGACCATGGTGAGCACGCCCCTGCCCCGTCCCACCCGCAGGGCCTTGGCATGCCCCATGCTGTTTGACCCCAGGGGAGTCACTGCACCTTGCTGAGCCTGGTCTTCTCATCTCTGAAAAGTGGTCATGATGTCACAGGGTTGTTGCAATGAACACATGTGGTACTGGTAGGGGTCTTGGTGTTTTTGACTTGTAGGTCAGACCCTGGGAGCTGGGGTGGTTCAACAAGTCACTTACAGATCAGCCGTGAGGAGGCAGTCTTTGAAGCTACTCAGAATCAAAAGCTTCCATGGCTTTGAAGCCCTGGCAGGAGGTGGTGGCCCCTCTGTCTGGCATCTTCAGGCCCAGTTCCCCGCTTTTGCTTTTGAGCAGAGGGGAGTTTGGGGCTCAGTGGTACTCTCTGCTGTGTGCAGCATTCAGTCTCTTTCCCTGAGGCTCTGAAGTCCTGAGATTAAAACTGTTCTCTGCCTTCCCCCAAACCCTATTTCAGCTGACCCCCTTTTTCCTGTCCTTTCCTTGTCCCCTCCTCAGGTGCCATTGACACCATCTTCTCCCTGCAAGGAGATTCCAGCCTGTTTGTGGCCTCGGCTGCCAGTCAGCTCCTGGTGCACATTCTGGCCTTGTCAATGTGCAGTAGAGCCAAGGGGCACTCCGGTCCAGTGGGTGGTGACTGGCCCGCATGTGCCCAGAAGATCGTGGGTCACATTGAAGAGTCCTTGCACTCCGCAACCACCCCACAGGTCACTCAGGCCCTGAATGTCCTGACCACCACATTTGGGCGCTGCCATAGCCCTTGGACAGAAGCCCTCTGGACACGGCTCAATCCTCTTGTGGCCTGTCTGCTTGAGAGAGACCCCATCCCAGCTGCACACTCGCTTGTGGATCTCCTGCTCAGCGTGGTCCGGTCAGGCCCCCAGACGCAGCTGGTGGGGGGGGGCAATTATTTTCCTGGGTATATCTCATTGGCAGTCAGAGACACAGACAGCTCCCCCAAGAAAGCTACCCAATGTGAAAGAAACCTGAATAGGCTCTGAATCCCTCACCCCTGGCAAAGCCCTTCTGTCTCAGGCTGGGCTCCTACAGCCCAGGGGCCATGACAGTCCCAGCCTGGCATTGAATGGGCTTTTGGGGAAGCAGAGGAATAATTCTCTTTCTGGGGTCCTCCTCTGCAGTGCCCCTGTGTTCAGTTCTTCAGACTGCGGCTTGTGGGAGACAGTGGCACGGACTCTGAGCTGCCTGAGCCCCACACAAGCAGGACCTCTGGCTGTAGGGATCCTGAAACTCCAGCACTGGTATGGATTGGGGTTCATTTGGTGCCTAGGAGGGGTGCTGGGAGCAGAGGCAGGCAGAGAGATTGTGTGCACAGTGTCAGGGAACCTCAGACAGCAGCTCCCAACACCGAGAGCAAGCAGAGGCGCCACGTGGGGGTGTCACCGGACACGGCATGATTATGGTGAGGTGGTGCTGCAGACAGTTTCTGCTCTTTCTTTAGTGACAGAGTAGTTGTTTCAAACACAAGCTTTGTGGGATCCCCAGAGATAAAACAGATTCGCAGAGCTACTCAGCCTAGAGTGGGATGAGTCCGTACCCAGGACCCACACTCTCGCTGCCCTTGGACCCTCTCTCTGGTGGCCTAAGCTGGAAGGTCCTGAAGCTCCGTGGTGTCCACACCACAGGGTGCATCTAGAGGCTGTGAAACTGCAGAGCAGGGGCTGGAGAGGCGGGAAGGATGAGGAAGGCGTGCCAGGGTCCCAGGTGGGCGAGAGCTGGTCCTGTCAGCCCACGTGGAGGGTGGAGGTGGCCTCCAGACTTGCCAGAGGGGCTGGGAGTGCACTGCGAGCCCGGCTCCGGATGCCAGGGTCTCCAGATGTTCAGGAGAGAGAGAGTGGACCACAGCGGGAATGAAGGACCAGGCACTTGGCCCTGGAAGCAACTCCCTGCGCTAGCATAGCCTCCCCCACCTCAGGGCCCAAATGTGAGGGCAGCTCCATCTTACAAAATGTAAGAAGGGACCTCCCGACTGAGCAGAGGATGAGACACACTTGGGGACAGCTGTCGTCCCCACTGCCCTGAGCAAGCACTTCCCCTCTGGGTGGGTGTGACCAGGCCTTCCCAGTTCCCACGTCCCTGAAACCCCTCCAGTGGCTGCTCCTGAGGATGTGAGGGCTGACCTCTGCAGGCCTTGGTCAGGCTTATCCTCTCTCCGCTCCTGCCCTCTGTCCCGTGGAGTACCCCAGCCGGTGGCTCGAAGAGAAGCCGTTTCTCCAGGGGATGTCCCTATCCCCAGTCCTGGCTGATTTGCTGCTGACTTGTTGGAGATGTTCGGAATATAGCCAGCTTGCTCCAGGGCTGGGGGAGCGATGCTCACCGTGTGCCCTGTGTCCCCAGCCCACAGGAACTGAGGGCCCAGGCCTTTGGGGTCCTCCTCCAGCCCCTGGACTGTGTCCTGAAAGCCATGGCTCAGGCCCCCGGACTTCCAGGTACGCTGCTCGGAAAGGGGAGGCAGGTGTAGGGAGGGTGGGGCCTGGGACTCTGGCTGGGTTCCTGAGGTGGGGGAGGAGGGTGGGCAGGGGGAATCTGGCTTGCTGCCCCCACTTTGATCTTATCCAGGCTTCCCAGTAAGAGTGAAGATGGCCAGGCCATGGGCTATCCCTGGACGAGCCACTTCTCTGAACCTGGGTCCTGGCCTCTGCCATAGGGCAGTGACTGTGGGGAGCTAGTGACCACCAGCGAGGCTGAGGTGCCCACTGTAAGGGAGTTGTTCCTGGTTTGACCTCCAGGCTTGCTGGATGGGGCTGCAGGTGACTCCATGATGGAGGACACACTCTTGTCCTCCAAGTCAGCCTGCGTGGGCCTCCTGTGCCGGACCCTGGCTCACCTGGAGGAGCTGCAGCCGCTGGTAGGTGTGGCCCGGCCCGCGTCCAGACCAGTGGTGGTGTCCAGACTGGCAGTGGAACTTGCAGCCTCCACTGATCCTCCCCTCCTGTCCCTCAGCCCCAGCGCCCCTCGCCCTGGCCCCAGGCACCCCTGCTTGGAGCTGCAGTGACAATATTGCGATTCTGTGATGGCTCGGCAGTCCCTGCATCCAGCATGGGGAACCACCTCTGTGGGACCCTGGCAGGCTGTGTCCGGGTCCAGCGAGCAGCCCTCGACTTCCTGGGGATGCTGTCTCAGGGGACAAGTGAGTGAGAATGTTTCTTCTTGTGTGACTTTGGCGTTGGGTGAGCCCTGAACCCTCACTTTCCTCCTGGGGGAGGGGGGCATGCCACCAGCTGATGAGGTCTGTGAGTCAGAACCTGCCTCTGCTTTCCTGGGCTTGGATTTACACCTTCCCGCTGCAATGGGGAGGGCCTGCGGGGGAGTGTCCCAGGAGAGTGGGGGGACATGGACATGGTTCATCCATTTACATCTGTCTCAGGCCCCCAAGAATTGGTGACTCAGGTGTTTGCCGTCCTCCTGGAATACCTCAAGAGCCCTGACTCCAGCCCAACGGTACAGGGATGGGGTGTGAGGAGGGGAGGGAGGCAGAGGCGGTGGGACCCCCACCCCCATGTAGGCCTTGCAGAATGGGGCCTTTAAATGGGTCCACAGAGTTGCTGCTGACAGTGTGCGGGGTCCGGACCCAGGACCTGGTGTTGGTGAAGATTAAGTGCAGGCAGCGTGCTGGCGTGTGGAGAGCGGGGACAGGGTCCAGTCTTCCTACAGGGAGTTCTTGATGAGGAAGTGAATCGGAGCCAGGATGGGCTATGCTTGGGTCCAAATTCTTATAAACGTTGCTAATAAATGTACCCATTCCATAGCTCCATGGCTGAGTTAGACTCTGGTCGATACAGACTTAAGGCCACGTGCCACTGAGCAGACAGCAGACAGATTTGGAGGAGGGTCTGGAGGATTCTTAGGGTTTTAAGGAAAAGGTGCCCTGGATAATGTCTTGACACAGAAATCCCATTATCCCAAAAGTAGAGGCTCCTGACAAGGGCTGTCTCCTCCTCCTTTCTCTCTCAAGTCTGGGAAGCTAGATCTACCACTTACAGATGCTTCTGCTTTATAAAAAAGAAGCCCAGTGCTCACTTCTCCTTACATCCCCATCCTGTCCCTGGGGCAGCGGCAGCACAGGTGAAGGTGGATGGGGGGTTGTGCAGGCAGATGTCCTGCTCTTCACCCCTTGTAGCCCTGCTGCCCCGCTTTGCCCACTCCAGGTTCTGAAGAAGGCCTTCCAGGCCATGCTCCGGTGGCTCCTGAGCTCAGCCAAGACCGCCGGCTGCTCTGACCTCAGCCGCCACACCGTTCTGGTCCTCCGCGGTAAACCCAGCTCCTTGCAGGGGTGGAGGCAGCTGGGGGCTGGGCGGGAAGGCTCAGGTGGTGAGGCTTGAGTAGCCTTGTGGGTGGGGTGACTGTGACCCCAGGCCACTCCGATCTGTCCCTCCCTGGCTCCAGAGCTGTTTCCAGTGCTGCAGAAACGCTTGTGCAGCCCCTGCTGGGAGGTGAGGGACTCCGCCCTCGAGTTCCTGACCCATCTGAGCAGAAACTGGGGAGGTGAGTGCCTGGCGGGGAGGGGGGTTCCACCTGTGGGAGTGCCCACCTAGCCTTGGTGCGTTGTAACCTCTTGCCAGGAACCCAGACCAGACCACCTGGGCTGCCCTGGGGAGCGAGGGGTCAAGGCTGTGGGGTTTAGCCCCAGGTCACAACTGCATGTGGCTGCTTTGACCCCCAGGGCAGGCCGACTTCAGACATGCCCTCCTCGGTTCAGAGGTGCCCAAACTGGCCTGGCAGCTCCTCCAAGATCCTGAGGGTTACGTCCGAGCAAGTGCAGTGACCGCCGTGGGGCAGCTCTCTAGCCGGGGCCTGCATGCCTCCCCCACCAGCCCTGAGCATCCAGAGGCCCAGCAGGTAGGGGCAGCGTGTTCCTCAGCCAGCAGCCCACAGCAGGCAGCCGTTTGTAGCTGTCTGGACACCCAGTCGGTGAATGGCTGGCTGTGTAGGCTATGAGCAGCTGCCGCTGTGGGCAGCTGTGGGCAGTGTTGGCAGGAGTGACTGCTGAAGAGCCCGTGACTCTGTTGGGCGTGGCACTTGCATCCTGCAGCTTCAATCTTCTGGCACTCCTGCGACTTAGATGTGGTTACCTCCACTTGACAGATGATCAGTGGAGGATTGAAGGGCAGTGTGCTCAAGGGCACGTCGCTGGAAGGAGCCAGCACAGTATTTAGCTTGAGACTGATTGGGGGGCCCAGTCCTTCTGTCGTGCCTGTGTCCCTGTCAGGTGAGCACCTCCTTCCCCAGTCCCCACCAAACTTCCTCACACTCTCTGTCCTCCAGGGCCTGCTCTCCGAGTTCCTGCACATCCTCTCTGAAGACTCAGAGGGCTTCCCTCGGAGGGCTGTCATGCAGGTCTTCACCGAGTGGCTGAGGGATGGTCATGCTGATGTGGCCCATGACACTGAGCAGTTTGTGGCCACAGTGCTCCAGGTGATGAGCCAGGACCTGGACTGGGAGGTCCGGGCCCAGGGCCTGGAGCTGGCACTGGTATTCTTGGCCCAGATCCTGGGCCAGCCAGACCCCCACTGTCCCTACGCTGTGGCCCTACCAAAGGCAGCCCCGCCTGGCCTGCTCACTGAGGTGCTGCAGACTCTCTGCCGGGTGCGGCTCTTTGAGTTTGTCTTCCGTGCCTTGTTTGACTGTGACCGACCCGTGGCCCAAAAGTCCTGTGACCTCCTCCTCTTCCTGAGGGACAAAACTGCTCCATGTAGCCACCCACAGGAAGCTGGGGGCAGCCCTGACTCGGCCTCCATGGAGGCCACCCTGCAGAGGTGGCGGGCAGGTGAGCAGGGCCAGCCCCTGGGGGACCTGGAGCCCGAGGCAGTGCTGGCCATCCTGGGGTCAATAGACCTGGAAGGCCTTCAGGGCATGTTGGCCAAAAGCAGTGACCACATGGAGAGGAGCCCCCAGTCTCTCCTGAAGGACATGCTGGCCACAGTGCATGTCCTGGAGGAGAATGAGGCCGACTGTTACTGAAGGAGCCATGCCCGGCAGCACCCAAGGGAAGAGCAGCAAGATAAAAGAAATCCCACATTTTGATGTATTATTAAAGAAGTTGCTTATTTTCTACTCAAAATAAATGGCATTGAAGTCTTTAATCCATTTTGAGTTAATTTATGGTGTAAGACAAGGGTTCAATTTCATTCATTTGTATGTGGATGTCCAGTTTTCCCAGCACCATTTATTGAAGAGACTGTCCTTTACCTATTGTGTGTTCTTGGCATCCTTGTTAAAGACTAGTTAACAGTATAGGTGAGGATTTATTTCTGGTCTCTCTTCTGTTCCATTTGTGTGTCTGTTTTTATGCCAGTACCATACTGTTTTGGTTACTAAAGCTTTGTAGTATAATTTGAAATAATGTTGCCTCCAGCTTTGTCCTTTTTTCTCAAAACTACTTTGGCTATTTGGGGTCTTTTGTGATTCATATGAATTTTAGGATTTTTTTTTTTTTCCTGTGAAAAATGCCTTTGGAATTTTGATAGGGATTGCATTGAATCGGTAGATCACTTTGGGTAGTATGGGCATTTTAACAATATTAATTTTTCTGATTCATGAATGCAAGATATCTTTCCATTTCTTTGTGTTTTCTTCTGTTTCTTTCATCAGCGTCTTATAGTTTTCTGTGTACAAGTCTTTAATCTCCTTGGTTAAATTTATTCCAAGTATTTTATTCTTTTTGATGCTATTGTAAGTGGACTCACTTTCTTAATTTCTTTTTCTGGTGATTCATTGATAGCATATAGAAATGCAACTGATTTTTGTATGTTGATTTAGCATCCTGTAACTTTACAGAAGTCATTTATTATAACAGTTTTTTGGTGGACTCTTTAGGGTTTTCTCTGTATAAGATGTCATCTGTAATCAGAGACAATTTTATTTCTTCCTTTCTGATTTGGATGCCTTTTATTTCTTTTTCTTGCCTAATTGCTGTGGCTAGGACTTCCAGTACTGTGTTGAATAGAAGTGATAAATGAGCATCCTTGTCTGTTCCTAATCTTAGAGGAAAATCTTTTAGCTTTTCACTGTTGAGTATAATGTTAGCTGTGGGCCTGTCCTATATGGCCTTTATTATGTTGAAGTACATTCCTTCTATACTTGTTTGTTGGGTGTTTTTATCATGAAGGGACATTGAATTTTGTCAAGTGCTTTTTATGCATCTATTGAGATGATCATATGACTTTAATCCTTCATTCTATTAATGTGGCATATCACATTTATTGATTTGCCTACACTGAGCCATCGTTGCCTCCCAGGGGATAAATCCCACTTGATTATGGTGTATGATCCTTTTAATGTGCTCTTGAATTTGGTTTGCTCGTATTTTATTTATTTATTTATTTTCAGTTTGCTAGTATTTTGTTGAAGAGTTTTGCATCTATGTTCACCAGAGATGATGGCCTATAATTTTCTTTTTTTAGCATTCTTATCTGACTTTGGGATGAAGGTAATGCTGGCATAAAATGGGTTTGGAACCATGAAACTCCTAGAAGAAAACAGGGGAAAATCTCCTTGACATTGGTCTTGGCATTGGTTTTCTGGATATCACACCAAAAACAGAGGCAGTAAAGGCAAACAAAAACAAGTGGGACTACATCCAACTAAAAAGCTGCACAACTAAGGAAATAATCAAAATGAAAAGGCAACCTATGGAGTGAGAATATTTGCAAAAAATATATACACACACACACACACATATATATATGGGTTAATATTCAAAATAATAAGGAACTCACACAACTCAATAGCAAAAAAAAAAGCAAATAACTTGATTTAAAAATGGGTGAAGGACCTGAATAGACATTTTTAAGAAGACATGCAAATGGGTAACAGGTATATGAAAAGATGCTCAACATCACTAATCCTCAGGGAGATGCAAATCAAAACCACAATGAGGTATCACCTCACAACTGTTAGGATGGCTATTAATAAAATGACAGAAGATGACAAGTGTTGGCAAGGATGTGTAGAAAAAGGGACCCATGCACACTGTTGGTGGGAATGTAAATTAGTAAAGCCATTACAGAAAACAGTATGGAAGTTCCCCAACAAATTAAAAATAGAACTACCATATGACCCAGCAATCCTGCTTCTGGGTATATATCCAAAGGAAATGAAATCAATATGTTGTAGAGATACCTGTACTTCCATGTTTATTGCAGCATTATTCACAGCAGTCAGGATATGGAAACAACCTAAATGTCCACCAATAGATGAATGGATAAAGAAATTGTACATATATAACAATGGGATGTTACTCAGCCATAAAGAGATCTTGCCATTTGCCATAACATGAATGAACCTGGAAGACATTATGCTATGTGAAATAAGCCGGGCACAGAAAGAATACTGCATGATCTCACTTACATGTGGAATCTAAAAAAGTGGAACTCATAGAAGCAAAGAGTAAAACAGTGGTTGCCAGGGGCTGGGGGGGAATGGGGGGAGTGGGGAGATGTTGGTCAAAGGGACAAACTTTCAGTTATAAGATGAAAAAGTTCTGGGGATCTAATGTATAGCATGGGTGGTGATAGATGTGTTAATTTGATTATGGTAATCGTACAATGTACTCATACATCAAATCACCACATTATACATCTTAAATATATTCAGTCTTCATTTGTCAGTTAAATATTCTAAAATTAAAAAAAAAGATCACGCTTGACAGTGTCACTGAGTCAGCACTTTGTTCTAAGACTGAGCAGGGGCAGACCCCAGGCCTGAGGCGGGTTTGGAGATGTGTCTGGGGAAGGATCCCTCTGCAGGACAGTCCGTGTGCTTCCTGGGCATGTGGGGGGTCTCTGCAGGGACCCTCAGGTGCCCCATGATACCCAGGGTCAGAGAGCAGATGGCACTGGCTGGAGAATGTCTGACCAAGACTGGCCCTCACAACAGTGACCCCCAGGTGTCAGCCCATCTGAGTCCAGATTTCCAACTTTTGACCTCCAGGATTACCTTGAACTTGCAGTGGTTCAAAGTCTGCCATCTCTGGACCAGGCAGGTGGAGCCGACTGGAGGTACCATCAGGAGGGGTCAAGACCCAGACAGGTCTGCAGTGGAGCAAACAGGTACAAGCCCAGCTCTGTCGTTTCCGGGCTGTGTGACCTTGCATGAGTCACCTCCTATATTAGTCTGTTTACATTGCTTATAACAAAATACCTGGAACTGAGTGATTTATAAAGAAAAATGATGTTTATCGCTTACAGTTTCTGAGGCTGGGAAGTCCAAAGTCCATCTGGTGGTGGTGAGCGTGATTCAGGGGTCTCACATTGCAAGATGGTGGAAGCAGAGAGAGCAAGACAGACTCTCCTCTTTTAAAGCCCTCAGAACCACGCCCCTGACCACCATTTTTAATCCATTCACTACTACACGGTCCTACAATCTAATCTCCTCTTCAAGGCTCTACCTTTCAATTACCATAGTAGGATTTCCCACCCTCTTAACAGTCACACTGGGGGCTGTTTCTAATATGTAAAACTTGGGGGACACAATTCAAGCTTCAGTGAATTTGGGGGGGACATAATCCACTACAATCCACTACACCTCCTCTCAGAACCTGTTTCCTCATCTGTAAATGGGGAGTTGGCTGTTTGCCTTCCAAAAGAAAGTGTTCGAGTGTCATTTCCTGCCCCTCCATCTGCTGAGGAACTGTGGTGTTAGGCACAAGCTCTGTGCCTGTTCCGTAGGCTCTGATCATGCTGTGGGTGAAGGGAAGTGTTGGGGTGGGGGGATCTGTGAGATCCCATTCACGGAAACAGGGCAGCTTCAGCTGTGTTTTAG